GGGGGGGGGGGGGGATCATCCCAGGAGCTTCGGGATTGGCTGATCGTACTCGGAAGGCATGCCACTGACCTGCTTTCCGTTCTTTCTTTCTTTCTTTCTTCTTTTCCCCCGCACACCACCCAGATTCCACCCTGGCCGTGTATTACATTGGCCTGTTGCTGAAGCTTCATCATGATCACATTGACCTGGTGGAGCAGCATGAACTGCAGAAGAACCTCCTCCGGCTCATCAGCACGGCAACCCCCCCTCAGGCGGGCCCGGCGCTCGCGGTCACCTTCAACTCACTGCCGGAGCTGGTGTCCGCTGGTTTCCTTCCCTCGCCGGAATCCTTTGCTCTGGTCTCGACACGCAGTTCGCCGGGCTCCTCTCTTTCTCGAAGCCCGGAGCTTGGGGAGCCTTTCTTCTTCAACCCCTTCGCCAAGAAGGGCCAGTCTGAGGCGACCCCGGCGGTGCCGCAAGTACGTAGATGGCGGAACACGCGCGTGCATGCACACACGTCCTTCCCTTTCTTCTGCCACTCTCCTTCGTGCCATAATCCATGCATGCCATGGTGACCTGGGCCCATGGCGATGCTGATGGTGATACTCACACGCACTTGGACCCGGCTCTCGGCGCAGTTCGGTGCTGATGAGACCATTCGCGTGCATGTGGTCCTGTCGAATCCCTTGCTCGTGCCGATTGAGATCCAAAGCCTGCGCCTTGAGTACGTTCCTGGGCATTTCAAATCCCTGCGTCTGTCAGGCTGTTGACCTCGCCCATGTTGCAGAACCTCGGGGCTGCCATTCGACGCGCATGTGTCCGTCAATGACGTGCTCTATCCCCAAACCACCTCGAAGGGGATTGTCCTCACGGGCCGCGTTGCCCACTTCCCGGACTCGGTTGGCCCGGAGAAGTTGCACATCCTTGGCGTCGTGATCCGAGCCTTCGGCGTTGAGCGCCTGCATGCTCTCCCCGGAGCGACGTATGTTCCCTCCAGCTCGGGCACCTTCCCGTCGCCTTCGATCTTCCAAGCCTCCCGTGCCCATGGCGCGCCGTGTGTATTGACATGTGCTCCCGCTACTTTGCCTCGCTCCCGGCCGCATGTCGGTGCCCGCCCCGCGCCCTCCATAGGCCCATCACGGCGAATGTCGTTCCCCCGCTGCCATACCTGCGCGTGACCTCCGTCTCGGACTTGTGCTCGGGGCAGCGGCACTTTTATGGGGCGCCTTCGCCACTGGCCGATGTCGATCCCAAGGCGGTCACCGGCCCGAAGGATGACATCCAGCTTCCGGCCTTCCTGTCATCGATCGAGCTTTTCGAGGGACAACTGTGCGTATGGCCTCCTCTAAGTGCCCGGGCCCCATGTGCCGGCGGGGTCGGCGAGGGAGCCCTCATGTGTCTCTTTTGCCCCCTCCTCTGGCTGTGGGGGGCTTTCTCCGACCGCCTGGGGTTTGTTTGTTGGTGATGGTGCTTTTCCCTGTCACTTACCTGTCCCTTTGATATGCACAGCTTTGGCGCGGTTTTCGAGTTGGAAAATCAGAGCACCCTGCCACTGAAGGCCAGCTGTGTGACCGCCACCTTCGAAGCCGACACCCTGGACCAGGCGGAGTCAGCGACGGACTTCTTTTTCAACCGGGCATATGAGCCCCTGGCTGGGGTGTCTCTCCTGGACCGGGCCCCGAGCCCGGGGGGCCTGGAGCGGCATGCCCAGGCGACGGGCTCTTGGGCTTCGGAGGCACGCACGTCCATTCCCTTCCGTGGGCGGTCCTTCCTGGTGGTCCTTCTTCGCGGTCGGCCGGGACTCACAGGCGGCCGGGTGATCGTGCGGTACACCACCGGGCCCGAGGAGGCGCCAGACGTCGGCAGCGGGACCCCAGGCGGCGGGGATCGCCCCCAGCGTCAGATCACCCTCCGCATGAATGTCACCGTCAGGCCGCTGGTCCGGTATCGACTGCGTAGCTGCCTGCCTGCGGCGCTCTATCTGCACGAGGCACCGGAGACGCAGGCCTCCGCTGCGGCTCCGGTCCACTGGCCGGATGTCGGGGCGGAAGTGGTGTCCAATCCGGCAGCCGCGCTGACGGCCATGGCCGCGCACCACCAACAAGTGGTGGCGCCCCTGGCTGGAGCCGGGGGGGACATCAGAAACGACATCAGCCTCCTGGAGTTGGATTTGTCGGCCTCAGCGCGCCCGGAGCCCGGGCCGCCGGTGATGGCCTGCCTGCAGTTGCTTCCCTTTGGGCCGCCGCCGGAAGGGGCTTGCTCGCACGGGTGCCTCGCCAGCGGCGGTGACCGCAGCAACACCAATGACAATCTTGGCTCGGGGCGGGCCGGCCTCTTTGAGAGCAGGCAATGCCTGGGTTTGGAAGGGATCCCGACGCTCGGCCGGGCGCACGGCTGGTCGGACGCGTGCGACGTGTGTGCGCGCTTCCTGTGGCGCATCCGTCTTCCTCTTTCCTCGGGCACAAGCACGCGGTATGCATCCACCCGGCGTCACTTGGGCGTTGGCCGTAGTTGGGGGAGGGGGGGGGGCCGCTTTTTGCTCTGTCCCACTCTCTTTCATGGTTGGCATGATGGCAAGGGACTGACACCTGCCGGTGGGTACACCCCAGTCTCTACTTGCCGATCTTGCGGATTCACATCACCGACCAGGATATCCTGCACCCGGTGCCACTCCTGGGTCGGCAGTTCATTCGCTCGGCCAAGTCCACTTTCGATGTGCGTGCCTCTCTTTCGTGCGGAGGGCGGGGGGAGGGTGCTGTTATTTGGGGTGCTGCCTGTGTCTCTTGGCAGCCGGCATTGGTCGCTAACGTGCTGGCATGCTGCGTGCCCCGTCATGTAGGACGCCATGGAGCGTGCCCAATTCTGGTCGCTGGCCTGTTTGCTGAACCGGCGCCTATTGGGAGCAGACTTCTCCCTGTCGCGGGCGTGCTCGGGCAAGATCCACTTCGGCCGGCTGCGTTTCGCCCCGCTGGACATCCGCTCACTTCGGCGTCCGGCCAGCGCAGTGACCTTCGCCCTGGCGGCGGCCCAGTCGGACAATCGGGAAACCGGAGACCGGAGTGGGCTTCTCCCGGTCCGACGTCTGTCGGCAGCCAGCTACCAGCAGGAGACCCTCTCTTTCCAGGTGACGCTCGACCAGTGCATGGCCCACTGCCAGCTCTTGCCCCTGTGGCTGGAGGTGCATGCCCTTCCGGCCAACACCGGGGACGATCTGTTTGGAGGCGCTGCCGATGTCGACCGGCCGCATGTGGCCTTGTCGCTGGCGCGCTCGACCTCGGATCGGGTGGTGATGATTGGCGATGCGTCGGCGCTCCTGCCGGCCGAGGTGCGCGTCGCCACGGCTGGCGATCACTTCCGGCCGGAACTGCGCGATGCCTTCGAAGTGGAGGAGGAGCAGCGGTCCGGTGCCGGGGGCGGGGCCGCCGGGCGTGGCGCGGCCGGCCGCGACGCGTGTGCCGAAGCTCAGCCGCTTGATCCGGCGCGGCAGCCGGCCGCCGCCAGCCAGGCCATCGACCTGATGTTCCTGGCCCCGGGTCGGTACCACATCATCCCGCGGCTGGTGTACCGGACCGCCGGGCAGCCATCCACCCGCATGCAGGTGGATCCCCAAGCCCTGGCGCGTGAATTGAAGCTGCCGAAGAAGGACCTGGCCCTGCTGAAGGAGAGCCTCGATCGGGACAGTGTGCGCGATGCGCGGCACATCCTGTCGCCGATTGTTGTTGGCTCCACGGTCCTTGTTGTTGTCGATTGACGCCGGTCGGGACACATGCATTTTGGAGTGCGCCAGTCGCGGATGTCAGCCGCCTTTCCTGTGACCGCCAGCACTGGGGCCGGTCTCCTCTTTCCGCGTTTCTTTTTTTTCTTTTTTTTTTTCCTCGAAGACGCATCCTCCTTGCATCCATATTCGTGGACATCGAACCAAAAAAAAATATATATATACCCTCCTGCGTCTCTACCACTGTGCGAAGTGCCTCCCGGCTGTCGGCAGGGCGGGACGGGGAGAGAAACCCTGTGGGTAAAGCGCCAGGAGCGTGTGTGTGGTCGCGTGATCAGCACATCATGCGCCGATTGCCCTGACCGGGTCACAGCAGTTCGGCCTCGTTCGCCAGCTCGGCCTGACCACTCTCCCGCGCCCGTGAGTGTGCCTCGGCAGCGGCGGCCCAATCAGCGACGACCACCGGTTTTTGGTCTGTACCTGGCCCGGCTCTTCGCTGGGGAGGGGGGGGGGGGCGTGTGCACAAGAAAGAGAGAGAGAGGGAGAGAGGGAACCGGCGGAATGGGGCAGAGAAACGGCATGCACCGTGGATGGCAGCTGCCTGCTGATGCTGCTGCTCGCAGCTGCTTACACACACACACATACACACACTGGCGCGGTGGTGGGCATTGGGGGCTGGCGGGGGGGGCCCAGAAAAACCGCACCGAGGGAGCGTGGACGTGTTTGTTGTTTGTTGTTTTCTTTCCCATGGCGCTGGGCGACTTGGGGGCGGGCCGTGCGCCCGGTGTGCGAAGGCGCGGCGGCAGTTCCAGAAAGAACTGCCAGGACACGGTGCTGTGGTGCCTGGACGCCGGCAAGCAGGGGCGTGTATTTTTGCTGGAGCCGTGCCCCCGGGAGGTGTGAGGGGATCTTCAGCACACACACACACACACTCTCTCTCCCTCTCTCTCCTCGCCCCTCCGCTCGCGAACACCTCTCCTCCTTCCTCCCCCTGCTTCCACCCCTCTCGTGACCGACCCCCTCCCCCCTGTTCGCGACCACCCCTCCTGTAATATGCGGCGCTTTGCCTTTTTCGCGGCAGTGGCCACCTTCCTGGTGCTGCTTCTCTCACCCGCCCTCTCTCTTGCGGCGCAGGTGAAGCCTCGCCGCGGGCCGACCATCACCGACTATGCCTACTTCGACATGCAGGTCGATGGCCAGGACGCGGGCCGCATCGTTTTCGGCCTCTATGGCAAGGTGCGTGTCATGACGGCTGACCTCGACATTGAATATGCACCTCCCTTCTCCCGTCTTCCGCTGTGCCTCCCTGACACCCGTGTCCCGGCGCTGACCTCCCCCGCCCGCCCCCTTGCCCCCTGTGGATTCTGCCCCTCCATAGACCACCCCCAAGACCTGTGAGAACTTCATTGGCCTCGCCACTGGTCAGGTGCGCATGTGTCGTGAACTTGCCCTTCTGCTTGGCCATCGCGCGCCCTCCTCTTCCGCCTCCCGCCTCCCGCCTCCCGCCTCCTGACATGTCTTTTCCTCGGGCTCCCCTCTCCTCCCGTCCCTATCGATCGTGTCCCGGTAGCCGGGCTTCGGGTATGCCGGGTCCAAGATCCATCGCATTGTCAACAACTTCATCATCCAGGGTGGCGACATCACGGCTGGCAATGGCACTGGCGGCAAGTCCATCTTCGGTCGTCCTTTTGCCGATGAGGTGCGTCTCCGCGTTTGAGGCCAGCACAGGAGGGGGTGGGGGGGAGGGAAGGATGAGGGGGGCGAGATCAACAATGCACAAATGGCCGTACACGCCGGGCCGGGCACTTGGCTCTCCGAGCCTACCCTCGACCTCCCAGGCTGGCTTTCTGACACGCGCGCATCCACCCATCGACGCATGCCTTGACGGACACAGAACTTCAAGCTCGGTCACAATGCCCCTGGCACTCTGTCCATGGCCAACGCCGGGCCGGACACCAACAACTCGCAGTTCTTCATCACCACCGCCGAGACCCCCTGGCTCGATGGGCACCATGTTGTCTTCGGCCGCGTTGTGGAGGTGCGCCCACTCGCATTGCCATTTTTTGCCTCTCTCTCTCTCTCTCGCTCCCTTTTGCGCCCACCCCCTGTGCGCCGGTTCCGCACCGCCTCGCTGACCATGACCATCAATCGGGCATCACGGCGGCCGATGCCACACACACACACACGAAAACACACGAAAACACACGCATCCACCCAGGGCATGAATGTGCTGTATGCTCTGGAGAAGCTCCCGGTTCGGATGGATGTCCCCATTGCCACGGTCACCATCAAGGCCTCCGGTGTCCTGAGCCCCGAGGAGGCCAAGCCGCTGGCCGAGGCGTACGACCAGGCCCAGCGTGACGCCGGTGCCGCACGTGCCGCTCTCGAGGCTGCGTCCAAGTGATGATACACGTGACAACCCCGATCGATCGCGAGGGTTGCAGCTACGCGCTCGTGTTCGGGCGGGGGCCGGGGGAGCACCACCCCGCCCCTTTGCCCCCCTTCATCGATAATACACCCAACATAGAAGAGAACGAGAGCGAGAGAAGAGAGGGAGGCAGAGAAAGACGGAAGCCCCCTCCCCCCCCCCCCCCCC